TTGTTGTGAAGTACCCTTGAGTCAGCTGACTCACAGTGACCCTGTCTGTGTAGGGTTTCTGAGGAGCAGCTGGTGGGTTTGAATTGCCAACCTTGCGGTTAGCAGTCCAATGCTGATCCTACAGTGCCACACCAGGACTCCACAGGATAGGGTAGAGTTGTCCTACAGGGTTCATAGGCTGTAAATCTTTACAGGGAAGCAGGATGTCACACTGTTCTCCCAAAGAACGACAGGTGGGTTTGAACAGCCAACCTTCTGGTGAGCCGTTGAGTGGTGAGCCACTGTGCCACCAGGATTTCTTGAATACTGACCAGGCTGTCCCCACCTAGGCTGTGCTACTCAGGACACAGTATGACCGGGACCCACTGGAGTTGCTGCAAGGCCTCTCCTGACTCAGGAGACCTCCCTTTCCTTCAGTGTTCATGGCAACAGTAGCCATGCCCACTTGAGCAGCCCAGAAACAGCCTCTGGAGAATGCCTTAAGGCTGGCTTCAGCGAAGTGAGCCCATCTGGGAAGAACCTGCCCTGGCAGTGGGGCGCCTCACCTCTCCTTCTGCTTGGCACTCTTAGGCAGGGTCTGTAGGTTAAACTGCAGCATGTTTCGACGATCTTTGTCTCTACGGAGGTTCCGCTGGGAATCAGGAAAAAGAAAAACAAAACAACTGTGTGAAAAGTTAAGATTTGGCGTCAAACAGGCAGTGCTAACAGGAAGCGCAGGATACTAACTGCCCACGTTTTGCATTTTACTCTGTGTTTTAATGCTATTGGATTCACGTTCTGGGGATGTTACTGGGGCAAGTACTTGGAATTAGCTTGGACTTATAGCCCCACTGAGGACGTCTACTGGGTCACAAAGAGTTGCCGAGTTTGCCTCTTTTGGTAATTAGATGTAGCTGGACTGGATCACCTATGCAATAAAGCTGCACACAGCTGTTCCGTGAGGCCAGACACAGAGGCATCTGCTCATCCAGCAGACCAAGCTCCTTTCTGAGGCCAGGGTGGGCCTGATGTCCGACCTATCAGTCAGCAGAAATCTAGCCAACTGAAGTGCATGCCTGAACCCAGGACAGTTCACTTCAGCACAATTTGTCAGAGACCGTGCACTGAACAGCTACTAGGGATTCACCAGGGACCTGTGATGACATGCTCTCCTCTCCTGCGGACCCACAAGCTGTCATTTTCAGCAGCATGGGACAGCCCAAAGACGGACAGCCTGCTGGCTTCTGGCCTACCTGGGCGAACCTCATCCGGTTCCGCTGGTACGCGGTCTTCTGCGTGCGTGCGGTGTCCACCAGCTGGAAGCTAGTTTCATCCTCTTCGTGGAAATACGCATACTGACTTCCACCCCCAAACTGAGAGGAATACTTATCTGCAGAGAGAGGTGCCTGTCTGTAGTCACAACGACCTACAGACTGTCCTTTAATAGCCTCGCTGTTTCAAGTGGGTTCTCGGGACCGCTAGCATTGGCTGCGAGCGAGCCTGTTACAAATGCAGACCCACAGGTCCCACCTGAGATCTTGCCAGTCAGCACCAGCGTTTTAGCAAGATCCCCAGATGGTTTACACATTTGCTTGAATCGTGGTGCCCAGGGCAGACATGTCTAATAGCTCACAATGAACTTTCTGGCCAATCTTAGCCAATGTTAAGTTAGCGCTTCATGCCTCTTAAACCGCTTAATTGGCACCAAGGAAAAACCTCTGTTTACCCTGTGGGGACCTTAAAGCCTGGGGTTTATTGACGGGCTTCAAGCTCAGTAAACCCCAAACAATGAGATCCAAAATGGGACTGTGGGAGAAGCCCCTACTTCCCTAATATGAGGGGCCTTCAAAGTTCATGCAAAATAGCACGAAAAGAGAACGGAAATTTTCAACGACCTTTTGAAGGCCCCTCATATAGTAGGTTAACGTGCTTCTATTTTGCACTTAAGCCTTTTTAATGAAGTCTAAATCTTGGGGGCTCTTTCAGGAAATGTAGTTCTGTGCACATTCCAGAATATGCTCCTTAAAAGGGAATTCTTATCAGCATTTCCTTCCCATTCTAGAATGTTTTCCGGTGGAGTTGCTAGAACAAGGAACACTCTCCCCAAGGCCCTGACGTGGGTTCTCTCAGTGTAAGAACACTTACTTGTGTATCTCTTATCCTGGTATGTGGCACCTGTCCAGTCTGCCACCTATTAAGAGCAACAAAGAGAGACAGAGAACGCAAAGGTCAACCAGGCAAGTTTCTGTTGACCCAGAACCCCCTAAAAATGTTAAAGGAGGACAGAGTGGGATAAAGTATCAAAAGAAGTGGCTCACAATGCCTTTGTGTGTACCCAGCTTGTCAGAGGGAACGCTATAGGAACATGGCAGCTACACTTTTGAGAGAACTAAAGTGTGGCAACAGTAGTGAGGTTGGCCCAGGACCGGGCAGTGTTTCGTTCTGCTGTGCATAAGGTCGCTATGGGTCAGTGCCAACTCGATGACACCTAACAACAACAACAAGTGCAAACAGGAACTCCTGGGGGGCATGGGGGGTGGTAAGAGCCACAGCCTAGAAGTGCAGAGTCCTGCCAGCCGGCAACTACCTTTCCTAGCCGGTCTCCTTTGCTGAATGGCTGGTAAGGCATGTCCCGGAACTGCTCTGGAACTGCGCAGGGGCCCCAGCCCGAGGGGTTATCCTGGATCACCGGTGTCAGGAACTTCGCCATCTTCTCAAACCTAAGGATACAGATTAGGTGGGTCACTGCAAGGAGAAAGGCCTCAAAACATGAAAAGTCTTCCACATGAAATAAGCCACGACATAAAAATAACAAAAATCCCACAAGACAACACACCAAATGGAGCCACCAGAGGTTTTCTTGTAAAAATACTATGAATCTGCAAAACTTGTTTGATAACCAAATGGATTCACCATTTCATTAGTTCTTTGATGTGCACTTGCCAATGGTGATGTCTGACCCACAGCATTTCTGAGGAGCAGCTGGTGGGTTTGAGCCAACAAACTTGTGATTAGCAGTCCAGTGCTGATCTACAGTGCTACACCAGGACCCCTTCACTGGCAGGTTTTCTTTTTCTACTTTTTATTTTAAATGTTTTATTGTGAATTATGTGATAGTTTACGTGGGAAAACATTAGTTTTACATTCATTCCATCGTATATCGTCTCATTGCCATGGTTACAATCCCCTCCATGTAATCCTTCCCCCATGGCCCCCAGGCCTTCAGCACACAGTCACTCTCCCTCTCTGGATCTAAAGTCTCCAGCTGCTCCATCGCTGCACGTCATCATCTCTGCCTCCATTTCAGGCATCACTGCTTCTTTGGGTAGGGTGTTGCTCTTCTCCCTTGATGGTCCTAAGGACCTCCACTCCTAGACTGAAAAGTTAATCACTCCCTCCTTGCTATAAAAAACGTCTACCTTTACATTTCCAACCCTCACAATCAGTGCTGATAACATTTATTCACTATTGTATCAAAAGAGACCCGTCTGCATTTCATTGCATCAGCCCCGGCTAGTCAGATTGAATACCACTCACTGGAGATTCTAACTTCCTCCAGGTCCTCTGGATCTAGGTTCCCTCTTGAAAGCTTATAAGCCAATTTTGCCTTTGTAGCCCCCATTTTGGGTAGCCAATGTCCAAGTTGGCAGGTTTTCTTGTTGTTAAGTACTTTTCAGTCAGTTCCGACTCACAGTGACCCCATATAGGGTTTCCGAGGAGCAGCTAGTGAGTTTGAACCATCAACCTTACAGTTCAAACCGAGTTTGCAGTCCAGTTAAATAAACTAACGGTGCTTCTTAAAATCCGAGTGCCTCGCAGGAGATTTCATGAAACTTGGCAACCTTTTTTCAAGTGTAGAACCACAATCAGGTTCTTAGAAAACCCCTTCACTCAGGCATACAATACTGTGTCCTCATCTAAAGAACCAAGAGAATCCTTACTTTCTCAGGGACTGGCAGATCGCTGCGAAAGTCTCAGCAAAACTGCTATCATTTAGTGCAGCGACCATGGATAGGGTTCCTGAGGCTGTAAATCTTTGCAAGAGCAGAAAACCTCATCTTCCCCTGTGGAGTAGTTGGTGGGCTTGAACCACCAACCTTGTGGTTTACAGTCCAGTGCTTATCCTACAGAGCCAAAATCTTAGCTGTTTTTGTTGGTAAGTGCTGCCGAGTTGGTTCTGATTCAGAACCACCGACCATGCAGTCCAGTGTGTTAACCCACAGCGCCACACCAGGACTGCAAGTTGTTGTTGTTAAGTGCTGTTGAGTCGATTCCGACCCATAGCGACCCTGTACAGGGTTTCCGAGGCTGTAAATCTTTATGGGAGCAGAAAGCCTCATCTTTCTCCCATGGAACAGCTGGTAGTTTCAAACTGCTGACCTTGAGGTTCGCAGCCCGATTCATAACCACTACGCTACCAGAACTCCTTAGGACTCCAAGTAAGCACATGTAAAAACGCTTCCTTTGTAAAAGGCCACACAATGACTATCAAGATTTGCATCATATGTCTATACACATAGAATGGTGAGAAAAAAAAGAATCCAGGATAAGTATGTCCGAAAATATGATTTTCCTTTCTTGTTCTTCCAATTTTCTATCATCAATACAAATTTTGCATGTGGAGTAAGAAGTTACAGAGCCAGGCAAAAGGCTGAGAATACTATAAACCTTGGGCCCAAAGTGTTGAGACATCAAACATCCACAAACATTATGGATATTGTTTTTAGAACTACCTATGCATGAATTTTGAAATCCTCAACAATTCTTTGGGGATCTGTGTTAGTCTTACTTTGAGAAGAGAAAACCGAGGCACAGTGAAGTTAAGAAACCACCCAAAGTCTCAATGCCAGCTGATGAGGAATTTTAATGAGGACAGGCTGGCTGCAGAATCCTGATCGTTCCTACCAAAAACGATGCCTTTATTACTCACCGCAACCCTCCCAAGTGCTTAGAGCCACAGTTCCCAGAGAAAAATTCATCACATGAGTATTTCCTGGAAGCTGGAGTAAATAAATAACTGAGATATACTGAACTTGGTAAACTCTCCTCATTGTCCCAAATGGGGAGACTGTGGCTTCCTACAAAAGAGAGCACTTGGGTGACAGCAACAAGGAATGAACCTGGGAGGTTCCTCCTCCAACTGTGAACGTCAGCCACGCCACTGGAAGAAGGAAAGGGGTGGTGGTCTCAGCAGTTCCCACTCAACAATGGTTTATTGAGCTCCTTGTGTGAGATGGACTTCCGATGTGGTGCTGTAGGAAGAGCGCTGGACTTACCATAGGGTCAGCAGTTCAAATCCACTAGTTGCTCCTCAGAAACTCTATACAGGGTTGCTATGAGTTGGAACCGACTCCCTGACACTTAATGACAAATGTGTGATGCTGAGTTCTGGTCTGGCCCTGTAGGATAAGCACTGGACGGCTAGCTGCAAGTTCGGCGGTTCAAACCCATCAGTAGCTCCTTGGAAACCTTATGAGTCGTTATGTGTCGGAACCAACTTGACATCACTTAACAACAACAACATCATGCTAGATACTTTAGCACCACCACCTCCCTCCCTGTTTGAGAGAAAAATGTGAAGCTCAGCTGAGCCATGATTTCAAAATGGATTTGAGTTACGGGGTGGTCTGCCACCGGCCAACCTGCTGTTAACTCTATTCGAGCTGGGCGGCAGGCAGAGAAAACCTGGGACTTTTAGACCATACTCAACACAGTTAACCGTGTCTCCAAATACAACCCTTCTTTCAATTTAGTTTTTCTTTCCCAAGGGTCAGGAGGCAGGCGGCCAGAGCTCGACATGCACTTTTCCAGGATGTAAAACAGCGTTGCAGAATGGAACCAGGAGGGGACTGGACTCGTCCGGGGTCAGTGGATGGTGACAGCTGTACTGAGGGCAGACTATCGGGACCATCACAGATCGTATCCACCAACCTCTGTGGGCAGAGGGGTCTTCAGACCAGGAGGACTGTCAATTGCTCGGGCAGGCCCGAACGTTGCTCAGCTGGGCACCCGCAATATTCACAGAAACTCAGGAAGCCTCCAGCCACTTTAGAAAAGAGGCCCTGAGACCCAACTGCATTAAGTGACCATCACATAGACCCAAACCGTGGTGACTGAGCAGAGCTTAAAACCAAACTTCACTGGACCCCGCAGAATGTTTGTTAGGTGTGCAGACCTCCCCAAAGTGTAATTTTGCCCCGCCCAGCTAAGGAACAGAGACAGCAAGAGGAGACGTAAAAGTCTCTTCCGGGAAGCTCCCGAAAGCCGGATCCAGCCTGAACCGTCTCCGCAGGCCCGCAGGACCCCACCCAACACGCCGCTCACCTGCAACGGCCTCGGCCGTTCCTGATGGAGGGAGATGATTCGGGCAGGAGATCAGAGTCACCAGCTGTACTCGGAGGAACCGGGCAAGGAGAGAAGGTGCGCGCGCAGCAGCCGGCGCCGTAAACACGACCGGCGCTGTCGTAAATTGCTTTTCCAGCTTCTGCCGAATTCGGCAGAAGGACGCACGAGCCGTAAAGCTAAGGTTACCCGGAAAGTCGTTACTGCTCTTTGCGATGTGTGAGTTTCCAAAACGCAAGGGGTGTGATTACAGTTACGTCAGGCCGCATTGAAACGTGGCGGCTGTGCAAAAAATCGAAGCTGAGGTCTGGGAAAAGTTGGCATTTGCTTAGTATCCCAGAATGCTCCACGGAACTCTTCTGCCCCTCTGTATCCCACAATGACCCGCGGCTCTCCCATCCTCTTTAACCAGTCATCTCGTTTGAGTCTCACAGTGTGTGGGCTGGGCGAGCGTCTCAGGCTGAGTTTATCATTGTTGATAAAATGCCGCGGAGTTAGTTCTGACTCAGCGTGACCCTATAAAGGGTTTTCAGGAAGCGGCTGGTGAGTTTGAACTGCCAACCTTGTGGGTCGCAGTCTAGTACTGATCCTTCAGTGTCATAGCAGGACTCCAGAGTTTATCTTAGTGTTGTTGTTAAGTGCCATTGACTCGGTTCCGACTCATAGCGACCTTAGGGTTTCCGAGGAGTAGCTGGTGGGTTTTAACTGCCTGCTTTGTGGTTCGCAGCCCTTTGCTGATCCTACAGCGCCCCACCAGGAGTCCTTACCCTTATACAGTTGCGGAAATTGAGACCCAGAGGTGTAAAATGACTTTGTTAGTTCAGACTGCTGATTTAGAAATGCTATGTGCCGTGGAGTCGGTTCCAACTCATGGCAACCCTGTATAGGGTTTCCGAGGCTGTAAATCTTTACGGGAGCAGAACGCCTCATCTTTCTCCCTCGGAACAGCCGGTAGTTTCGAACTGGTGACCTTGCGGTTCACAGCCCGATTCGTAACCACTGCGTTACCAGATTTAGAAATAGCCACTAGTATTCAAGCCTTATTTCCACAACATTCAAACTTGGTTGTTAGGTGCCATCGAGTCGGTGCGGACTCATAGCGACCCCTATGCAAAACAGAAGGAAACACTGTCTGGTCCTGGGCCAACCTCACAATTGTTGCCACCCTTGAGCCCATCGAAGCTGCCACTTTGCCAATCCATCTCGCTGGGGTTTTTCCTCTTTTTCTCTGATCCTCCACCTTACCAAACATGGTATCTTTCGTCAGCAACTAGTCCCCTCCTGACAATATGTCCGAAGTACGAGAGACGAAGTTCATTTATCCTGGCTTCTAAGGAGCACTCTAGCTGCACTTCTTCCAACACAGAT